ATTTTTTTATTTTTTGGTTGTTGCTTGTATTTTATTTCATTGTAATTTCATTTTTTTTTGCATGATATAATTGTTATTTTTCAGCTATTTAAAAAAAAGTACAGATTCTCTCAGGTGTTTCAAATCAATTCATATCAAATTAGACAATGGAACCCCGAACTAGTGAAATAACTGCTAACTATTAGCATCAAACAGTGAGGTACTCATCTATTGTACAAAACGTATTTTCATTAAAATAATTGAACAATTTTGTTTTGAAGACAAACACACTTGCAGACCGGTTTCGGTCTTGCACACACTTGCAAGACCGGTTTCGGTCTGCAAGTATGTTCCAATAATTATATTGTATCGCCACCACTATATGCAGGAATAACTTCAGTGAAGAATCCTGCACTGACTGACACCTGACTGAACCATTACCCGAAACTAATAGTAACTCATTCTTCGACGAACCATATGAACAGAACGAAGTAATGGACATCATTTCAAACCTGAAAAATAAAACCTCCTTAGGATATGACGAGCTACCAACAGTGCTTATCAAAGCCTGTCGGAATGAATTCAGTTTCTATATCACTCAAATTATAAANAAAAAATGATTTGTATAGCATTAACAATGTGCTACTAAGTGTAATGTGACTTGCCATATCCAAGCACAGCTTGGCTACAAATGGTTAATAAAGAGTCTGAATCTGATATAATCCAACGCCCTTCGTGGTATTAGCCAGGGGAATAGTTCTTTTCTGATAAGTGTCAGTCCATTAACCTAATGTGTAAAGAGATAAGACTGGCCTGAACGAATTGTTCTTTTAGATGATTTGATATCTATAACACTTCAGGTTCGATATGTAAATAATCAGGTTCAATTGGGTACATATATGTGGTAATACTAACAAAAATAGTAAACTTCACTCACCATTATTACTTGTAGCCCAAATTTTCGAGACCATTGCGCTTCTCTCATGAAATGTTTTCAAATTTGCGTTGAAGATGTAACAATATGCCCCAAAAAAGCCCAATGGCTAAATATAACACTATTATATAATACAGATACTATTATTCATGTGTATATTTCCTGCAGTAGCTGTCACTGGTTCGATGAAAGTAAAGACTACCTACTTACTTGGAGAAAATTCACTTCATTCAAGGAATATCTAGAAGGAAAAAGTAGAAAATTCAAGAACTATGCGGTATCTGTACATTAAAATCATATTTTTGGTTAGTGAGGTATGCTACGTTTTACCGTAGTAGGTATAACCATAGTATAAAGATAATTGTACTATGGTTTTACTTACCGCAGAACTAATCTTGATGGAAACTGACCTTGAGTTCATTACTTACTGATTCAAGTAACTACATTTCGTTTGCCATTTATCAATTCTGAAACTCGTTATCAAGTTTATGTAAAAATTTACGATTTTCTTGCAATTAACCATATGATAAATAGTATATTACGCAACTGAAATAATTTTTTTTTATCTCATTTATCTCGGTTGTTCAACAGGGGATTTAAGATATGTTTGTCATACGAGTTCTACATGATATCAACACCCCCCTCGTAGTTGAGATATTCTCTCGAAAAGCAAAACTTGATTCTAATAATCCTCAGTGAGGATATCAGGAAGTTGTTTCTTGGTACCAATATATTTCAATCAGTCATCTCCTGACGCTTCTGACTTTGATAGCAAAACACGCGTTAGAAGATGAAGTTATAGTTTGAGTTAATTTTTTAAAATTTGTGACTATTCCTGTACGGATTCCAATCTATCAAGAAAAAGAGGCAGAGAATAAATAATGAGCAAAACTCAACGATAGAATGAAAATTGAGCAATGACATTTTCAAATAATGGAATGTGGTTTTCAAGTTCTAAATTGATGTGTTTCAGGATTATTTATAGAGTAAAGTGTGGTTAAGACTAATTTTCAGCAAATAAGAGAAAATTATGTTAGTCTGCAAGCCCATACTCAATTACTAGGGAGTCCTGTGATACCTCCTAAAAATGATAGATTTTCATAGTTCTGAAGTGAAAAATAGGTTAGAACCATATTACGTTAGTTGTAAAAATTTTGAAAAAGTAAAAACACTTATACAAGTGGGGGATCAATTTGCCAAAAGTCCTTCTACAGCTTTCAAAAATTTAGCTACTAATTACGATTGGAATCTTACCTAGTAGGGGATTGATCTTACGTTTATCACCTTATAAACCAACTGATTTGTAAGACATAATCAAATGAGTGACCGTTTTTGATATAAAAAACTAATTTCACGGAATTTATCACGTTTACCTACACATGTCACTTTTCCAAAAACANCGGTAAAAAAAATAATAATAATTTGCCAAATCTCCTTAGAATTATTACATTGATTATTAAAAAGCATAAAGGTATCCTAAGTACATTTATATATAGTGAACAAATAAAAACGATTGCCACTTAGGTTCACATGGAACCTAAATGAGGCAACCTATTCAAAAACGAACTGTCATCTGAAAGAATAGTTTTATTTCGTTAGGATTGTTAGAAGCAGCAATTAACAGTAAGCAATTTGAAAGTCTGTCTTTACAATTTCGATGAAAATCGTAACAAAAACAACAGTTTCGAAGCATTTCATGTGAAACGAAAACCTTTCACCGGAGCCTTTTGAATCGCACTTCTGAGGTTCGGTTTGTTTCTTCCAGAACACTAGCAAACGACTTTCCATCGAAAAAGAGATCCTTGAAGAATACCGTAGCTGCAAGCTCCCACCTCGCTGACCTGCCAATCGCCTGCGACTGAGGCGCAGTAAACAGCGCAGCTACCAGTTTTGGCACTGGCTCTAACTTCAGCTCTGTCCCATCGAGGGACTCCTTGACGTTTTCTCCGAGATACAACCTTCTGGCAACTTCCGTCGTCACTTCACAAATCGTGAAACCGATGCCTCTGCGTCCAAATTCTGGAAGGGTTGCTAAGAACATCAGCTCCAACAAACAGTCCACTTTGCAGTGCTCGAACAGATCGCAGCTGGCGTCAGCTTCATACATGAACTGGATCAATCTTCGTGACAGGGGACTCTTACATGACTTGGAGAATTCAGCAAAGAAGGAGTCGTCTTCAGGGTTGCCTGGAACCTGAGAATGTTATGAAAATAAATTATACATAATGTCTTCTATGCGATCCAATTTTTTTTGTAGACAACACGTTCAGTTGAGATAGTGTTATAAATTTGATCTCACTTTACGTCAAAATCTTTGGTCATCAGGTTAGGTTAGGTCAAAAGTGAGTGGACCTCTTCGTCCCTCCACGGCAACTTGCAGGGGTTTATTATGCCTTACACCTATTCAAACTCGACCCAATGAACCCAGCTTTTCGATAAAACTTATTAGTTTATCTTTCAGATCAGATAGTAGAAGTGTGGTTCTACCGAACCCCGAAAACCTGATTCGGTCTCTGCATATGATGCTTCAGATGACAGTGACCTGTAAGGAGACCTGTTAGACATCGTAGTTCATCTCTACTGTAGCCCAACAACTGTTTGGTTTCAATCTTCGAAGGGTGGAAGAACACCTTGGAGTGAGCCAATCCTGGTAGATTTTGCAATGTTTGGTTGGCAAAACTTAAAGCAATGCCGATGACAGGTTCTGGTCCGATGAAGCTACTTACAGCACCCTCCTTTACAAGGGGGTCAGCAGCCAGAGACAATTTGTTAAGTCTTCCTATCGAGGAGAGTCGTTTTTGGCAATTTGCTACCAACTTAGGCGTTGCTCGGTAGGAGCCAAGAGCTTCCAACGCCGCTTGACTGTCCAACAAAATTTTTATCATTAGACAGATAGATTTGTTTGGTCGGACTACGTGAATATATTCATGACAAGTCTCAAATATAGAGCACCATATATTTTTCTCACAGGTTTCTCAGTAATTTTGTTGAGGTCTTCATGTAAACCTTTAGTGAGCGTCTTGATGGGCAGAACCCATGTATCGAGGGGCAAATCTTTGAATCCGATTTTGAAGTAGACTGTGTTAATTACTCTATCTGATGAATCTTCTGACCATAATTCCTTGATAACTTCTGCGAACGAATTGATTAAAACACCTTTCATACTAGAAATACTAGTATGAAAATACCACAAAGATCTGACCAAGTGAGTTTGTCACATTGCTTGGATTCTTTCACAAGAGATGAAACTCTGGATGGAGATGAAAAACCAATGTGTTCGAGGTGCAAGCAAAGGAAAAAATGTACAAAGTCCTTATCAATCTATAAGTTTTAAGATGGTTGTTCTGATTATTGGAGTCCTTGGTGGAATGATGTCATCTCTACTCTCGAATCTTGAAATCATACCGGCCTGCCTCACTAAGGCAGAAATCTTAGCCGGACAGATGCAGAAGGCTTTCATTCTTGGCTCATTGCACTTGCTCAGGGCATATGTTTATGCCCAATGATCACTTACCCCACGGTGTGGGGAGTGGTCGTTGGTTGATAATGCTGGCGCGCCCTCCCGAATGTATTAGGGCTTCGGGGGATTGGGCCTGACCAGCGCATTCTTCGGTAGATAATAATAATAATGAAAATGCAGAAGTCTGTCGTTCTTAGCTAACTGCGCTTGTTCAGGGCACATGATTCTCGGACCCAATGATCACTTACCCCACGGTGTGGGGAGTGTTCGTTGGGTAATGCTGCCGCGCCCTCTCTAATGTATCGGGGCTTCGGGGGATAAGACCTGAGCAGCGCATACTTCGGTAAAAAAAATAATAATAATTTGCCAAATCTCCTTAGAATTATTACATTGATTATTAAAAAGCATAAAGGTATCCTAAGTACATTTATATATAGTGAACAAATAAAAACGATTGCCACTTAGGTTCACATGGAACCTAAATGAGGCAACCTATTCAAAAACGAACTGTCATCTGAAAGAATAGTTTTATTTCGTTAGGATTGTTAGAAGCAGCAATTAACAGTAAGCAATTTGAAAGTCTGTCTTTACAATTTCGATGAAAATCGTAACAAAAACAACAGTTTCGAAGCATTTCATGTGAAACGAAAACCTTTCACCGGAGCCTTTTGAATCGCACTTCTGAGGTTCGGTTTGTTTCTTCCAGAACACTAGCAAACGACTTTCCATCGAAAAAGAGATCCTTGAAGAATACCGTAGCTGCAAGCTCCCACCTCGCTGACCTGCCAATCGCCTGCGACTGAGGCGCAGTAAACAGCGCAGCTACCAGTTTTGGCACTGGCTCTAACTTCAGCTCTGTCCCATCGAGGGACTCCTTGACGTTTTCTCCGAGATACAACCTTCTGGCAACTTCCGTCGTCACTTCACAAATCGTGAAACCGATGCCTCTGCGTCCAAATTCTGGAAGGGTTGCTAAGAACATCAGCTCCAACAAACAGTCCACTTTGCAGTGCTCGAACAGATCGCAGCTGGCGTCAGCTTCATACATGAACTGGATCAATCTTCGTGACAGGGGACTCTCACATGACTTGGAGAATTCAGCAAAGAAGGAGTCGTCTTCAGGGTTGCCTGGAACCTGAGAATGTTATGAAAATAAATTATACATAATGTCTTCTATGCGATCCAATTTTTTTTGTAGACAACACGTTCAGTTGAGATAGTGTTATAAATTTGGTCTCACTTTACGTCAAATTCTTTGGTCATCAGGCTAGGTTAGGTTAGGTCAAAAGTGAGTGGACCTATTTGTCCCTGCACGGCAACTTGCAGGGGTTTATTATGCCTCACACCTATTCAAACTCGACCCAATAAACCCAGCTTTTCGACAAAGCCTATTATAAATACATTTGAATAAAAATAATGAAAGATAATTCTACAAACAGTAGGTACATGATAGATAATATATCCAATACAAGTATGGATAATTTCATTGAGATTTGATTGTAATTATTCATTTAGAACATAAAAGCAGTGTTTGAATGCCTTCTCCATTATAATTTTTCTATTTTTTTAAAGATCAATACAAACTTTGATTTGATACACAAAATAGAGTTTCCTTCAAAATTCGAAATTGAAGTTTGTTTCAAGTAGTAGCTTTTACTCTTTTCTCATTATTAGAACATTGAATTAGTATTCGTTAAAAGTATCGTGCTAAATCAGTAAAATGCGATTAAAAATAAATTGCCGAGGGCAAGGGGGTCCACGCTCTTTGAACCTCTCCGATATTCATTCTATCCTGCGTCGATGACGTTTCCCCCACTCCCGTTTGAGCTAGAATCCGCCTTGTTCATCTACTAACCTTAGAGGCAGTTTTTGACAAAAAAATACACATGATTGTGAAAAGGGAAAGGGGTGGTCTATAATATCAATACGTATCACTATATAAAGGGTTGGGGTTGAAAAGATGCTAAAACATCACTCAATTGATGTACCTTGAAAGATTGAATTGAATTGTAATTGTATTCCATAAAGAAGTTTGACTATGTTCTATAGTCTAGTTTCCGTAAATATGTACAGAGGGATGTTGAACAGAATGACAATATGATTATTAATTATAAATATCTATATCTCATTTATATTGAAAGGGTATATCTAAAGAAATGAACTTCAAACTTCAAACCAGTCTTCAAGCCACAGTAGGTTGAATGGACTGACGCCTATCAGAAAACAACTACTTCCCTGGCTAATACCACGAAGGGCGTTGGATTATATCCGACAGATTGAGATAGATGGAGTGACATTTTGTGATGTTCGCTCCAACTTCGGAAGAGGAATGAAATACTCTGAAATAATTCCGATTTTCAATTGTGGAATATCATTGACTTCAGGTCGATGATGGTTATTATCTTGCACTGACGAGTGGCTAATGAGCCCGAAACCGGTCTGCGAGTGTGCCCGTTTCAAAAGGTCTACTCTTTCAGTTGTATTGCCAATTGCAGCAAATTTTCTGTGAAGATTCCTGCACTGACGTCTGTCGGATATAATCCAACGCCCTTCGTGGTATTAGCCAGGGAAGTATACCTAAGTGTCCCTATACCTAAATCGTCAAGTTTTCTTAATACAGCCGTTTTTGTGGAAAAATAGTTATTCACGTTTTACCTACAAGTGTTGAAAGTGGCATTTTATTTTGTGAGTGGAGATTATTGCAAAACGAGCGTTGGACATGATATATCATCTTGAAGCATTTTTCACCATCTTTCAATTTACTGAGTAATATACAGGGGGTTTTATTTGAAAAAATGAACTTTTGACTACTTTTATGCACAATGGAAATAATAGTAATTTTAGCACGCCCTGTATGATATGGAGTCGATTTCTTGGTGTTATTTGAATATTTCGAGTTTGTCCAAACTATCATCGAAATATCATCTTTTCATGAATTGAGAGTAATGATGTAATACATTTCAATTAACGCTATGTTTTGGACCATATTTTGCACAATTTATTTTTTATCTCGAAAACAGATAGAGATAGGTATAGGACATTATTAACAAAAAAGTATTAAAATACCAGAGCGATTCCAAAAAGTTATTAATATATGGGGTGTTCTATTTAAAAAAATAAAGTTGCTAGGACTTTTTGATGGAAGTGGCAACGCCGCAATGCTGAAAATATTTTAGATCGATAGAACAGGTAAGGAAATGTGAGAGCTGAAATTTTCAGAAAAATCATGCTTTGCGTTTTCCAGAAACGTCTAACCTACCATCGACCGTGAATCACGCTGTATATTGAAAAGTTTTTCATGAAAATAAATAACTAATGAAAAGTATAACAGTAGTTGTATTGTGAACATAACCTGCCAGCATGTTTATGTAAAAATCAACCAACAATTGATTGATGGATTGACTGATATAACCTAAAACTATGAACTCAAGGAAATTGCAATTGATAATACAGAACTATGAGTATTGCAAAAAAATCACTTATCAGAAAGCTTTGGCTACTTCTTAAGAACCGTTTCAATATTTCGTTGGTTCTTTCAAATTTTCGATCAGTATTACATCAAAAATATTTGTGGAGAATTAGAGTAATTTGAAATTATCTGCTTTTAGACGAAAAGCTGAAATACTCAAGATCAGAATCGCTAATAAATTCAAACCTATTCAAAATGGAATTGATAGAGATTAATATGTGCTACGTAATTTATCACTTCACAAACCTGTTGATGAAAAGATAAAAAAATATTTGAGTATTTAACGTCTGAACATTGTGAAACTAGATGCTCTCGAAGGGATCAAGACATTAATTTTCCTGAAAAGAACAAATATTTAGTGGCTTTTAATAGAATTATATCTCAATCTGGAGACATTTCTTACCTAGTAGGGGATTGATCTTACGTTTATCACCTTATAAACCAACTGATTTGTAAGACATATTTTTCAAACAACTCAGAATTTCAAAGTATGGTATCTCCAAATTATGCATGTTGGAAAATCACAACCTTCTCCTGGTTCTTTCCCTTTTCTTATCACCTCTCCCTTTCTTTTCTCTCATTTTTATTTTTAATTTTTATTCATTTTTTACTATTATTTTTTTCTATCTTCACGGCCTAAAATTTCCCAACATTTTTCCAAGTCGAAAAAGCAGGGGGGATGCTCCCCCCATCCCCCCATGGCGATGGCCCCACTACTACTCCATCTTAATACTAAAAATATTGGAATCTTTCAAAATTGACTTCCTCCTTCCTTTCTTTGAAAGATTCCCACATTTTTGGTATCAAGATGGAGTAGTAGAAACCCAAAAGCTTCCTTTTCCTAACATCTAGGGTGATTTGGCAAAAACAGACTGGATAACTGATAACTAATTTGACAGATGTAGCTTCATCAATTGTCTAAGTTCCCAAATCCCTGTCGGAAGAGCCTATATAATAATCGTCTGCCTATCCCCGCTATAATGTAACTTTTTAAAACATGACAATTCAAAAATAAAATAATCATGCTTTTGCGATACATACCTGCAACTTGTTTATTGCAACAGCACATACTGTGTTGGTATTTTTCTCAACTGCAATAACTGACACACCATCTTCAGCCACACACAAACAAAGTTTGTTCAGTTCTGCTACAGCTTTTTTGTCACTAGCTAAGTTTATTGCTCTGCAAATACTTTCTCTAGGATAAAACCCCTTTTCTAATACCTTAATGGCTCCTTCTATGTATTCTGTAGTCAACGACATGTAGAGAATGCTACCTGAAACAGTGTATTGTATTGTTATACAGAATGTTTAGAAACTTCCTGGGAATCGCATAGTGAAAAGTTGCACCTCGTTAATCCACGGCTTGCGCATATTCATACTTTGAAGAATTATAGTCCATCAGAAAACCCATCTTTATTCAATTTATATTATCAGCTTGCATTTTTACCCAATTTATTTTATCAGATACATCACAAAAGTTCATTCATCTATCATTAAAAAAATATATGGTTGTTTTTATCTAATTGTTCACTATTGAAGAAATAAAGTGAAAGTATATTTGTTAATAACAAAAGAAAAGCGAATAGAATTATTAAAAAATGATGATTTGGTAATATTGATATTGACTGGCAAAAATAAATAGGTTTTAAAACAAGTGGGTAATGTGCTTTTATGCAATACAAGTTTTTTTCCGAAAACCATTTTTTGAAATCATATTGGACCCTCAGATCTCCAGGAAAATCAACCATCTTTTAAAAAATGCATTTGCTGTAAGAATTTTTTCAACAATAAAAATGAAAATAGAAAAAAACATATCAATGTAGCTTTCATCAATGAAAACAAACCAATAAAATATTTGATGAACATTTTTGAAACGCTTTATTTATATTTTTGATCAATTCAATATTTATGATTGTTCATAAATAGTTCAAAAAATGTTTCAGTAAGGATCTCCTCGGAAATCCGAAAATATATCTCCATGACAGAAAAAACTGGCTTCAGTTTTGGTATCTATCATGGTTTTCATGTATCTTAAACTTCAACCTGGAAAAAATTATAAATTAACAAAAGTATAATTCAGAGAAGCGCTAATTTTGACAGCTTTTTGTTAAATCTGTTATCCGCCTAGAATCATTCTTTAATATTCATGGGTTGAAATATTTTATTTTGTTCAAACAATCTTGAAAATATCTGCAATGGTTCATGAGATATTTGTAGAAAACGACCCCTTATTTTTTTGTTCAACTGAATTGTTTGTTTGTGGAAGTCGAAAAGTGGGGCTCTCATTTCGTTCGAAAATTAGGGTCCTTCAAAGTTCTAAAGAAGGTCATATTCCACCTCTTCAGCACAAAAGAGAGGTTGATCGAAGTTCTACCTTGCTTTAAACTCTTTTCTTAAAAGTTCAGTCTTTTTCCATGAAAAAAAAATTGTCAGAGCTGTTGTCTGGTAACGTAATTGTTCAAAGAACAGATTTCGGGTTAAACATTTACTTAGGTATTATTGCTTCGCTCGAATATCAAAAATGGGATTGTTTTACGAAGCCATATCAAAAAAATTACGAGACCTGCAGTAATGGCACAAAATATGACATCATTGACATTAAGCTGTTTTAGTACAATCATTAATTTTCGCATGCTTTCCACACTGGCTTGTCTAACGCATAGTCATTATGTTGAAAAACTAAATTAGATTCACTCACCATCCTTACTCCTAGCCCAAATTCTTGGAGCCATTTTTTTCTTCCTACTCAGTTCAATGCCTAAATGATTTATATACTTATTTTGTATTATTATGAGTTAATATAACCTTTGCTACTTGGGTGTATCACTATAAGATAATAAAAATAATATATATCCAATAACTGAACAGTTGTTGTGCTATTGCACTTACCAACTCATCAAAATATACTGCTATACACAATTCCATCCTTCAATCTCATACATCCCATCAGCTTGGGGTTCATGAACAATAGAAAATTTTTATTCAACAATAGAGAACTGCAAGAATCATCCCTTGCTGAAAATATGTGCTTAATGAATAATACATCTAAGTCGAAATTACTAATATTTGGTCCAAAAAATCACAGAGAGGTTGAAAAACAACAACTCAATATTAGTATAGGTTCTAATATATTGGAAATTGTGAAGGAAGCAAACAATCTTGGGGTGACTATAGACAGTGATCTCCGATTTGATTCCCATGTGAATAAACTAATCCAGAAAGCTTACCTCTCACTCAAGCTGATTTACGGAAATCGAAAATTCCTCCCTAAAAACACAAAAATTACTCTATGTGACAGTTTCGTCTTTCATCTTTGAACTATGCAGATGTACTCCATGGACCAAGCCTTACAATAAGGAACAAGAAAAGACTCCAAAAGATTCATGGGGTATGTAGAAGGAACAGAATCTCATCAAAGCTGTCAGAAACTTGTTGGCTCAATATGGAAAACCATATTGTCGTTACACTCAGCGTGTTTCTATCATAAGGGTATCTGCAATAAAATTCCGACCTATCTATATAATAAAATTACTTTTCGGACTGACGTACACAACTTGAATGTAAGGCATAAAGGGTTGTTAACTCCTCCGATACACATTCATGAATTTTTCAAACGATAATTTACGTATCAAATATGCAACGTTTACAATAAACGTCCCCATCATTTGAAACATTTCAAAATAGGTATTTTTAGGCAAAAATTGAAAATTGAAGTACTAGGTAAACAAACTTAAATACTCAATAGTTTATTCATATATACAGTTTGTCCAAGATAAGGATCCTAAGCATGGGAATCTCAGTACCTGTTGGAGATACAGCTTAGGTTAAATTAGGAAAAAGTTGTGTTCTTTAAAGCTTATTTACATGCCGTTTAGAAACTGCTGAGATATTTGGGAAAAACGAGAATTTGACAATATCAATTTTATTTTTTTCTGACTT